GAGGTGGGTCGCCCGGGATGGGGTGGGTTGTGTACGAGTCCCAACACACCCAAAAGCAGTATTTTTCAGAAAACTCGTCTCTTGTCCATGTATTACATCAACTGACACCGAGAGGCAGCCTGAGGCAGCCCGCCGAGTCCAGAGACGCCTGCAGCGCCTTACACAATCAAGCAGCCCCCAGCCCCCATGCCATGATGTCCCCATAAGTACCTCGAGATAAGTACCCCCAAAGTGACATACGGAAGCAGCGCGAAGCAGTACACAGGTCGTCGAGCTGCGCAATGCAAACGCTCTCACGCCCAAGCTCAGCTTCGTGGGTCGCGCGATTGTGTGTGTGCGCACGTGCAGTGTGTAGAAACACATCACGTCAAGGCTTCTGTCGGCGTGGACTGTGTTCGGTGCTCTCCCACAGTCTCTGGACTCTGCGCTCGGGTGGAGCCAGTTCAAATTCACTATTCTTTTAGTGCCATGAGTGCGCTAGACACGTCCCCACCTTTGCAGGATGCTTGGAGCACTTGCAGTTATTAGGATTTTGCAAAAGCGAGGGGGAGGGGAGCGGGCCGGGTATAGAGCACCGGCGCTGGCTCGCTGCTTCTTCCACGCCGCAGCTGACTGTCTCCACTTCACGCGCGGACGTCCACCTCACCGGACACTCGGCCGCGCGACAATTTTGGATGGCGACATCAATCATGGCCTCGGGCGACGTGGGCGGAGAGGCCGGCAAAGGCATGGCGCCAGAGGAGGCGCGAGCGCTCTACGATGACTGGGGCGATGGATACACGACCTCGGTCGAGTCTTGGGGCTACACGATGCCGCACGAGATTGCTGCGGCGCTGGCGAGCCTCGCAGACGACGCTCCTTCGTTCTCTGGCAAAATCCTCGACGCGGGCGCCGGCGACGGCCTCTCTGGGCGCGAGCTCCGCGCGGCAGGCTTCAAGAATGCGGACATCACCGGCGCAGACCTGTCCCCGAAGCTGCTCGAAATCGCAGCGAGCCGCTCGGTCTACGACCAGCTCAAGCAGCTCGACCTATCGCAGCGCCTGCCGTTCGAGTGCGAGAGCTTTGACATGGTGAGCTGCGTCGGCACACTCACCTACCTAGCGCCGTCGTCGGGCGTCCTCGCTGAGTTTGTGCGCGTGACAAAGCCGGGCGGCCACATCTGCTACAACATTCGCACCGACCACAAGCTGGCGTGGCTCGAGACGGAGAAGGCGATGGTCGCGAATGGCTCCTGGCAGCTGCTCACAGAGACGGAGCCGCGGCCATACCTGCCGAACAATCCCGACTACGCCGACAAGGTCCTGACCGTGATCTCTTGCTATAGGAAGACCGTGTGAGGGGAGGCTCTGGAGCTGCGTGGCGGCAGGCCCCTTCCCTCTTTTGTACACCTGTGAGCGGTAAAGGGTGTGGATGCTGGGTTGACGGAAATCGGGGGACGCGACCCACTTCGCCACAGACGGTCCCGCGCCTCGCCGCTAAGTTTGCGGCACGCCCCGCACCGTCCGCTGTGCCGCGTTTTTTGTCCGGAGTGAAAAGTCCAACGCGCTCGTCGGTGGCGGCTTCCCCCAACCTGCCCGCAACCTGCGCCGCGCTCGGGCCTCGGCATAGCGGGTCAGCAAGCCCTAAAACGGCGGGAGGGGTAGGGCTATATCGATAGAGCTAGAGGGCTCAACCACCCCTCCACCCCTCCACCCTCCACCCCTCCACCCTCCCGGAGCGAGAGGGGTCCGTCCTCGAGCCCTCCCACTTCCACCCCTCCGACCGGAGGGCTCGCCAGCCCACAGGGCTGGAGGGGTCCCCGTCGGATCGGCGTCGGGAGGGCTCCACAGGGTCCCATAGGGCTAGCGCGCTGGGAGGGTGGAGCGGTCCACCGGGGAGAGGGGTCAGGAGGGCTGGGCGAGGCGGGAGGGGTGGTGGGGTCCAGGAGGGCTCGCGCCCCCCCGAGCTCGGGTGGTAGGCAAGAGGGCTCGGGCGCCGGGTGGGCTCGGAGGGACGGTCGGACAAAGAGAGGATCTTCGTGGCGGGAGGGCTCGAGAGGGGTCGGAAGGGCCTCCGGGAGGGTTCGCAAAAAAAGAATGGCGCGGCGCTTCCGAGAGTGCCCTACGAGAGGGTTAGAGGGGTCGGAGGGGTTTATCTGATAGAGGGCTGGAGGGCTGCAGGCCTGCTGCCCGCCCATGGACGCGGGTCAACGGCGACGGCGCCCGTGATCGAGGGACCGGCGACGGCGAATGAGCTGGTCTCTGCGCCGCACGACTTCACCCACGTTCGCGACTGTGGCCATCCAACAGTCTGCCGGCGCGGCGGGCGCATTCGAATGCGCCGGCCGCGCCGGCAGACTGCCAGTGCTATCCGGGCGGGCCTGCTGCGGCAGGGGGCTGCAACGCCGCCGCCTCGCCGCCTCAGCAAGCGCCGCCCCCGCATGGTTGCCGCCAG